TTGGTAGCCCTTCACCCTAGCATGCTACTGACCAAATATCATCTCCCTGGGCAGTTTGGTTATTGAGAAGAAGTTGTTTAAAGTTTTTAACATATTTGACCCCTGTGACCTTGAAAATAGATGAAGGTCATTTATTTGAACAAACTTGGTAGCCCTTCATCCCAGTTTGCTTCTGGCCAAATATCATCACCCTAGGCCTTTCGGTTATTAAGAAGAAGTCGTTTAAAGTAAAATATTGACGCCGGACGACGGACGGACGACGGACGCCGCACCACGGCATAAGCTCACTTGGCACTTTGTGCCAGGTGAGCTAAAAATCAACAAGTGAATTCCTAGAAAATGTTAAATGCTTCCTGACTAAGTTTATGTCAAGGTTGTTTACATCCTGTTGAACAAGGAACAGTATTGGTTGAGGTCTTCAATGGTTTAGATGCATTACACGTCACCAAATTAGAAACTATTCAATAAGTATTGATGTTTTCTGCCAGATATATGTCATGATTTTCTGTTGACTTACACTGCCCACCTATTAAAACCTATACCAGTCTATACATTATAAACCTTTATATACCAGTCTATACATTATAAACCTTTTACACAAACACTATTATATTCACATGATTTTATACCTATATATATATACCAGTCTATACATTATAAATCGTTTGATTACACAAACAGTATTATAAATTTACATGTTTTTAAACCTTACATAATGTTATGAAATCCTTCTTGATGATCAACAAAAGGCCGATCAAAATTATACCGGTGCTTCCTGTTTCAGCTCCGAAAAATAGCAGGTGATTAAAATCATTACCAGGTTCTAAATAACCTGAATGAAAATTTTGAGAGACCAGATTTAAGTAATTCAAATAGAATATTTTGGACAAAATGGACAATTACTCCTGTCAAAATCCTGAAATCACCTTTGCAGAGGGCTAAAATAGGATCAATGCATTTGTCTTTTGACAATAAAATTGTTTTAAATTGAAATTGAATCCTGAAATCATTATGCCAGACACATAATCACAACTACGACTGCATAGGGTTAAACCTGAAATGTTTGAAGGAAAACAGAAGGACACTGATCAGATGGGGTAAATGTTAGGACAAGATTGCTCCACTGATAGACATTATAGACAACTGATATCAGTATACCCACCTAACTTTATTATACAGGCATTCATGGCCAGAATAATAGTAAAACATAGCCACAGAATCTGTTTTCTATGTTAAATGTTGTATTGCTTCATTCAGGAAGTAAAGTAGGACAAAGCTTCAAACCTGGTTTGCAAAGTTTTTATCTAACTGCCACGCAGAACTGTACATGTATATGGTGTTTTGACTTGCTTTAGGATATCTTCAGGTGAATATTATTCTCTGCATATAATGCACAACTTCTAGATTAAAACTAGGCGTATTGAAGGCATGTAACATAATGAAATTAGTGTATGTTTATATATCTGCTGTAAACTACTGAAAGGTGAAATAAAAATATTGTTTCTGAGATATGAATTTTAAAGGAGACATTTCACGTTTCTGTATTTCAGGTTTCTTTACAAAATATACCAGCAGGTAAAACATACTTAGATGTATACAAAAGTTACTAAGGATTTCACGGACAAGCTCTAGTAATTATATAAACTCCCAATAACACAACTCACAGTAATTATATAAACCCCCTATAACACAACTCACAGTAATTGGAGAATGCTTTAAGTATTGTCATATCAGCTTCTAACATATTGATTAGAACTTCTGGACAGTAAAAAGAAGTAACGAGGTCATTAAGACTTTAAAAGGTTAGTCCCAATAAAACCACTGATAAACATGTATACACATTCAAATTACAGTGTATAGTTTTCGAGTGACATGGAATTTCTGCGTTGTGTTAAGAACATGAGATATGAAGGCAAAACATGCAGTGCACTATAATAATGTATTGAAGTAAATCTACATGTTCCCCAATCATTAACTATATACTGCCGATAAGTCTATATTTTATCCAGTAGAAAACTATTCTTTGTAAATACAAGTGTATGTTCTGCCGACGATCTGCATCCATGGACCTGTCCATATATCGTTCCGATCTCCCCCCCCGCCCCCCCC